TGTAGTTACTTCTTTCCACCATGTGAATGAATAGGAACCAGAATAGCTTGAAACCAGACACATGTGTGGACTATAAACAACAAATGCATTGCCTGAGTGCATCCAGTCCCTAAAACGATAGCTGTGCATATAACTGTCCTCTTGGTGCTTTATAATTATATTTTGAATGTAGGAAAGTTTCTGCAAGAGATCCCCTGGGGATGTGTAAATTAGGGCTGCAAACAATAATCTCATAGCTGTGTCAACTAATGTGATCATTTACAGTGGTGCCTCGCAAGACGAAATTAATCCGTTCCGCGAGTCTCTTCGTCTTGCGGTTTTTTCGTCTTGCGAAGCACGGCTATTAGCGGCTTAGCGGCTTAGCAGCTATTAACGGCTTAGCGGCTTAGCGGCTTTAAGAAAAAGGAAACAAACTCACAAGAACTCGCAAGACGTTTCATCTTGCGAAGCAAGCCCATAGGGAAATTTGTCTTGCGGAACGACTCAAAAAACGGAAAACCCTTTCGTCTAGCGAGTTTTTCATCTTGCGAGGCATTCGTTTTGCGGGGCACCACTGTATAAATTGACAAAGAGCAATTTTAAAAGGTGAGGATGAGACTGAGATCACTTTGAAAGTGTTCAATCTTTAATATTTGTCTGACCAGGCAATCCTAACCATGCCTACTCAGAAGTCAATCCTACTGAACTCAACAGGGCCCACGTTCAGGTTAGTGGGGTTAGGACTGCAGCCTAAAGGTAGGATTGACTTAACCAGACCCATCAGCAGAAGCCCTGAGCAAGGACTTCTACTTACACAATGGGTCTTTCCTCCCCCACCCAACATGCCCTGCACCCCCCTCTAGGGATTGTGCTTCCGTATTTAATGTGGTATAGAACAGGGATGGGGAACTTGCAGCCCTCCAGATGTTATTGGCCTATGGCTTCCATCATCCATGTCCATTGGCCATGGTAGTTCAGATTGGTGGGAGCTCCAAAGTCTAACGTTTGGAGAACCCTAGGTTCTCCATTCTTGTTACAGTACAGTGGTACCTCGGGTTACATATGCTTCAGGTTACATACGCTTCAGGTTACAGACTCCGCTAACCCACAAATAGTGCTTCAGGTTAAGAACTTTGCTTCAGGATAAGAAGAGAAATCGGGCTCTGGCGGCGCAGCAGCGGGAGGCCCCATTAGCTAAAGTGTTGCTTCAGGTTAAGAATAGTTTCAGGTTAAGTACGGACCTCCAGAACGAATTAAGTACTTAACCTGAGGTACCACTGTATGTGAGTAACAGAAATGGGGGGGGTGTTAACCTGTGTTTCGATTTCTGCTGTGTTTATATAATCAGGATGGTGATAATATTTTCATTTTCTAGAAGACAAAGTGTTCTAGGGTATAGATTCACAATCATCAGGTGGAGATTTGCTGAGTTACAGTTAAATGACATGTGACTAGTGCAGTTAGTTAAATATTGCTTAAGTCAAGTAACTTATTCTTTTTCCAATTTAGGAGACAGAAAAACTGAGGGAGGCTAGAGTGAAAAAAGGGGAGGAAATAGGAGAGAGTTCACATGTAAGATAAATGTCATGCTGTGGTTGGTTTTTATATGATAAAAAACCTCCTTGTTGAAGAATAGTTAGGCAATTAGTACTTCGTTAATAATCTTTCATAGAAAACTTTGGCTCATGTTTGATCATAAACATTTTATGTAGATGATTAGATAAGTTTTATACACATCTTATCCTCATTTACCTTGAGAAACACATACATTCATAAAACGGCTTTCTTTATTGGATAATTACTGTTTGCTTGGGGTTTTTTGCCCCTGAAAAGGGAGGCGGAATGCTAAAAACCAAGACTGGAGCTTGATAACATAATAGAAAATGGAAGGGAGTGCCAAATTTTTAATCCCAGTTTTCCATCTGCTTTCTCTTCGGTGCTCCTCTAATGGAAGTTTGTCTATTGAGACCTTTCCATATGATCATTTTTTAAGGTGACATGGCATAGCAACACTTTAGGGCCACAACTTGGATTTCTCCTACCAACATGTAGTTGTTAGGTGACTGGGTCTCTTCTGTGCTTGGTGGGTTTCTGCAGGCATGAGGAAAGCAATTTCAAATAACAATTATTTCATGGAAAACAAGCCAGGGGCAGAAAAAGTGGGTTTTGTCTCACCACCCTTTCAGTAATGGTGGTAAGGATCCCACAAACCAGACAGGTCAGTAGCTTTCAGGCAGGCTGGCAAACCCTGGTCCACCCTGGGAGTGTCAGAATGAGATGGTAGAGTGGACTGACCCACTTCAGATTACTGACGGGGATATATTAATCCTGCACACTTCCCTACGTGACCCCCACAAAAAAATCCTAACCCCCACAAATTAGTATTTTAAGGGAATATGTTCTATCCTAGCCTTTAACCTACTACAGTATACTTGTTTTGTATTTGAACTGAGTTTTTAAACGAAGTGAGGCATTAAAAAATGTTATCCTCTACCTGTACTCTAAAGTGGCATAGTCTACGCTACCAACTCATCCTGCTGCATGTTTAGACCAAGCTGGTCATGGAGTGATGAGCTATCAATCGTTGGATTCTTTATGTGACACAGACTCACACACCTCACTTAGGAACATCAAGCTAGCCACATTAAATCAAACTAATTCAATCATTCTTTTGCAATAAGTAGCTGGTAAATGTGTTTCAAAAATCCAATCTAAGTTTCTCTACCCCTACTAATTATTATGTACCTCTAGTATAGTCTATGCAAATCATCAGGGACAGTGGGATCTGTTATTTTTCAGCGTACTCAAGACAGCTTTACATTTTAACTAGAAGCTAAACTGACACAGCAGATTCTTGCTCAAAGGAGCCATGACTAACTGCTTAATGCTTCCCAAGGGGTATGTGTGTTGGCACATCACTGAGATAAGAATTTCAATACATGTGCTTGGCTGCACAATTAGTCTCCTTTTTGTCATTAAGTGAGTTGGTAACAAAGTTTTAGGTTGCCTGCACTGTACCCATATAATGTACATGTCTGAAATTAACATGAAATATGGTCTCTGCTCAACCAAGAGAAGGTATATTTGGGACTGAGGATATCTTGCTTCAGAATACAGTCGTGTCCTATGCTTTATATACAGTTTCCCTATTAGGGAGTTCTAAGGGGGCTACAGAGGACGAGATGGTTGGATAGTGTTTTCGAGGTTACCAGCATGAGTTTGACCAGGCTGCGGGAGGTAGTGGAGGACAGGGGTGCCTGGCGTGCTCTGGTCCATGGGGTCACGAAGAGTCGGACACGACTAAACGACTAAACAACAACAACAACAACAACAACAACAACAACAGGGCTTTCCAGAGAACCTGCTTAGAGCATTACTCTCATTTGCTTGCACAAGACAAAGGTTAGACTTGATCCAGTCTTTATTGAGCATTTGTCCTGATTTGCTTCTAGGGTGTTTACACATCTTCCCACATCTTCAGTACATTTCATCTTCACTTTTCAAACCCTAAAAAGTCAAGGTTTTATTGTTGTTTTAAGTCAACTTGTTGCTCTAAGGCAGGGGTCAGCAACCCGCGGCTCCGGAGCCGCATGTGGCTCTTTTACACCTTTGCCGCGGCTCCGGGGCGGATACTAGCGAGGGGAGGAGGCGCATTGTGTGCCCTGACACTCCCCACTGTTTTAAATGTCGCAATGGTTTTGCGGCTCCCGGTTTTTTTTTCTTTGGTCCAAGTGGCTCTTTTTGTCTTAAAGGTTACAGACCCCTGCTCTAAGGCAACAGAGCCCTTTATCCACTTTAAATCTGCAAACAGGGCCGGCTTACCCATAGGCCCTAGGGGTGCGGGGCACCCAGGCGCCGGGCTCTCAGGGGTGCCAGGCTGAGATTTGGAGTCCAGGAATTGAAGAGCCAGGCTAGCCAACAGCTGCTGCCAAGTGGAGCAGAGCCTGTCGGAGCGCTGCAGGCTTTTCTTCTGCTGGCACTGAGGCAGCCGGCCAGCTACCCTCCTGCGCGCCTCTGCAGGGATTACTCTTATTACTCTTCTTCCTCCACTCACAGCAGAGAGTTGTGTGCCCCCCAAAAAAGCTCAACAATTCTGAGCTGCCCCCCCCCCAAAAAAAAGAATTGGGGGTGCTGGGCACTCCGGCATCACATATGCTAAAGACGTCTGCAAACCTAATATTCTGGTACATAAAGCAAGGGCCTGTATCCCTTTTCTATGTGTTGTTCCTTCCCAACTGTAACACCTGAAAAGGATGACCATCTACATCAGGGATGGGGAAAATCAGGCCTGAGGGTCAAATGCAGCCCTTGGGCTGGAAAATGTCCCCCATTCCAATCAACACAGAATATGGGCTATTCCTAAACTAACTGAATAAATGAGAATAATTGGACTAACAGCATAAACTCTGCTCATGTGAGTTCATTACCATTTCTCCTACACACACACACACTGCAATGCTGGGCTCAAGGTGTGGTGACATCACACATGTGAACAGGCAACCCCAGTCACTCTTCAAATACCAAGACAATACTATACCCAAAGCATAGTCTGGCAGTGATGTTATTTCCAGTCCCTGTCTCTATCATATGTTGTACCTAGGGCTGTGAAGCAGATTCTGAGCCTGATCAGGTTGGGTTGAGACTGCCCCAATCACTCCAGGTCAGTTGAGCAGCCCAGACATATCTGGGGCTGTCAAGGGGCAGGACGTCATGCAGGAAGGAGAGGAAGGTATGAGTGAGAAGAAAGCATTAAAAGGATGGTCCTACTGGGCAACTGCAAGTTCAAGGAGAAGCAAGTTCTGTGAAGGCCATTGCAACAGGCAGGCCCTTACACACTATAGCCATCAAGCCAACTTCTTCTTTGTCTTTAAATACTCCATTCCTTCTGAAAAGCCTTTCCATTGCTAACTCCATCATTCAGGCTGCCAGATATATATGGTAGTAAAGATCTGCTCTCCGCCACTTCCGATACCACAAGGAAGGTTTTCAGTTAAATGTTAGGCAAAGGAAACTCATATTACCTGGCAGGTGGGCTGGGTTAAGTTGTTAAGGGTGGTGGTACAATCCTGATCTCCAGGGTTTTTGCAAACAGGTGTTAGGCAAGCATCTGTAAGAAACGGTTTTGGCGTATGAGTTCTCTAGCACAAATCATCGGAATAGGTGACTCTTGGGGTTCCTTCGAATTTAAACTCTGATGATTTCACTATCATGTATGCCAGGGTTTTGAGGGTTGGTTTTTTTTTTACTTTGATTCTTACCTTTGAAAATATAAGAGCCTTTGCCAAAGGTGCAACTCAAGATTCAGAAGAAGTTAGCAACTTCTTAAGTTCAAAGAAAATCCGCCAGACATTTCTAGGAAAACGTGAACTCTTTGTACATTAAATATGAAAAGACGTTCTTTGAAAATGTATTTGTAGTTTGTTGTGAAACTACCCCTTGGTGGCAATTCCTTTAACAATTTATGGAGAGGAGGGTGTCTCTAATACCTTAGTTCTTTTTTCACATGGCCTCAGTTCAAAGAACCAGTTTGTACTTGCTTTGTAATCAAAAGAAAGCTACACCCGTTAATAAATTTGTCCCATATTAGAATATTCAGTGAAAAAAGTTGCCAAAAAAAAGTTTAAAGAGCTGCTCAATTTAAATGCTTTAGAAATGAGAGGGGGGAAATCAAAATGAATTCTAAGCATGAACTACATTATAGATTTGCCTTGAATTGTCCTGTACCACTTCCGCCCAGCTCCAATACACAAAAGAGCAACTAAGTATGGCGCTTCTCACTCAGTTGATTCAAGCACACAATAGTTAGAAACCAATGCCTGATGATCATCTTCCAAAGCAACTATTCTATTCCAAACTTAAAAATGGAAAGCATAATGCTGGTGGTCAACAAAAGAGGTTTAAAGACTGTCTCAAGGCAAATCTAAAAAAATGTAGTATAAACACTGGCAACTGGGAAACAACTGGCTCCAGTTGGAGAACAGCCTTTACCAAAGATGTTATGGGCTTTGAAGACACTCAAACTCAGGACGCAAGGGAGAAACGTGCTAAGAGGAAGGCACGCTTGGCAAATACACACCGTGGTCATCTCCCACCTGGAAACCAATGTCCCCACTGTGGAAGGACATGTGGATCCAGAATTGGCCTCCACAGTCATTTACAGACTCATTGTTAAAACCATGTTTATGGAAGACAATCTTACTCAGCTATGAGTGATCGCCAGAGAGAAGAGCTTGCTGGTTTCCCACAGGCGTCTGGTTGGCCAATGGGATACTGGACTAGAGGGGTGATTGGCCTGATCCAGCAGGCTCTTATGTTCTTATTAGCTTTCTCCATCCTTGGTTTTTTCCAGCCTTCTTGGGATTTGTTGCCATGTGACAAATCATAGCTAAAATATTGTGGTATCTCGTTCTGTCGCATCCCTGCACAATTTTTGAACCACCAAGCTGAGCACAGCCCCACTATACCCAAGTTTGTGGGCCTGCCATTTGCTTAGCACTAATTCTGGGCTATACAATCAGGTGCACACAAAATCTAAAGGGCAAAAACGTTGTTTGTGTCTCCTGATTTCCTTCTACTAGGGAGAAAAGTGGGGGTTGGGGTTATGTCCTAAAATATAACCTGTAAAGCTTTGAAAGGGGGAAAGAGACAAAAGGCCTCTTCTGTGCTGACAAACCACAGATGAGAGTGGGGGGTGGGGTGGCTGTTTTTTCAAAGGATTGTAATCAGAGACAGCAGGTATTTGATCCAACCATCTCAGATCTCGGAGACGGCGACACGTGCTCTGCTTCCAGAGCTACATCCATCTGCCCTGTGGTGCCCCAGCCAAACTGGGCAAACATAGCCAGAGGTCTAAAGATCTCTGTATAGGTCATGAACCTACGAGGCTACAGGAATTGTTGAAATGAATACTCTGTGTTCCAGATGCTGTGAGTCAGGGTTTCCCATGCTGTTCTCAAGCTAGAAATGCCTGCTTCTAATCCCAATGACTTTAGAAGTGACGATGAATCTCTCTCATTGCCTCTGCCCTTTTCCCATTCCAAAGCATAGCATCTGATTTAAGAATAGCCATAAATGCTTGCCTGTAATTATATGGCGCACATCAACTGCAGCCCTGTATAGGGAAGAAGCACCACAACATTGCAGGGAGCGGGCTGGCCTGTTGTCCTCTGATCATGAACGCAGCATCCTTGTACATCAGAGTGCAGTGGCAGCGGGAGGCCCCATTAGCTAAAGTGGTGCTTCAGGTTAAGAACAGTTTCAGGTTAAGAATGGACCTCTGGAACGAATTAAGTACGTAAACAGAGGTACCACTGTATAACCTACATGGATCTCACTCTATGAGTCCACCAGTGAAATTGTTGAATGTTATCTAGACTAGGACTGGACAAACCAGGTTGCTTCTGTTCCATATTACTTTCATATGCATTCACTCAGTCTATTTCATTCTATTCCCACATCTATGGCTTATTTTTGTTTGAAAAAGAAAAGAAAATCCACGTCAAAAAAATCATTTATTTAAAATATGCATTTCACAATGCGTTTTGTCAAAATGTTTCTAAATTATTTTATTTGAAAAACCATGCACTTTAAATGCACTTTGATACTTTTTTAAAGCCAAGAATTGCACTCCCACATTTGGAGAAGTGCAAAATCCAATTTTTAGAGATGTTCAGATCTGCAAATTAGCCAGCGCGATGCAAATCAGGTCATTTCGTATGCATCTCAGACATCCTAATGTAGACTACACTGTCTCTTAATAAAATCTAATTTAATGGCCTAACTTTAGGTAGGTTGTATACCCCCTCCCCCCCCCCAAAAAAAGAACTTGACTATGCATCCACAGCTTCCTCTTTTTTATTATTTTTTATTATTATTATTATCATCGCCTGAAGCAAATGCAAGATAGAAAACAAAAATTACTGTAGGCCATCATTGTTCTTTCTCCTTGGGAGTACTGTTCCTAATCCAATCTCCCAGATTTATTTTGGAATATCCACAGTGGCAAGAAGGACTGTATTTAAAAATTAAAATAATATACAATTCAATACCGAGCACTTTCACAGCACACGGATCAAAAATGGGTAAATCTTAAAAACAAAAACACTGGCTTTAATAACAGCCTTTCTCCCAAGGGGGCCTCTATAAGTTTACATTAAAAATAATGGCTGCACAGCACTGAGCATAATAAAAGCATGGAATGGACCGGGTTTCAAACCCACCTCCAATACCATCACTTATCTATGCAAGGTAAATTAGTCTCTCCATCAAATACAAAGAAGCTAGACTCTCTGTGGGAAACATTTACTTTCTTGCATACTTCTTCCACCGCATATATTTCGTGAGCTCTTATACAGTACACCTAATCTAATAACCATTAGTAGGACAATAAAATGGCACAAAGTGAAGGGAAGGGCACTAAAGTAATCCTATCCCAACCTGTTTATTTAGCCGTACTTCTTAATGACAGACCTTCGTACCAGGCAATGCCTGTGGCTAAGGAGAGCATCACACAGCCAGTTTTCCCACACCCACCTCAGCCCAGAAGTTCTAGAGAGCTCTTCTCTAATGTAGAATCATTAGAATTCACGTACTTGTCCAGTTTCGCTCAGGGAATTTTGCTGCCTGTACAAGTTGCATCTCCCCACTGCCCATTCCACATGTAGAAAACTGATCAGACTGGCAACTGAATGTTACTTCAGCACTGGGGACACGGCAATGTCTTCCACCACACCTGTGGTTGGGGAGCTAGCTTGTTGGCTGGGGCAGGCCTTATGGCACATACGTTCTGCTGCTCTCCAGCTTCTACCACCTGAGGCGGCTGATGATCAAGCCACTCATGGGCACTTTAAAACCATTTTGTCATGTTTCTGACATGAGCCCTTCCCATGTGATCTGGTGTGTCACATTTGTGCTGTGGGATGGAGCAGTTCTGCTGTGTCTCCCACACAATATGAAGATAATTTGAATAAGGCAAGAGCGCAGCATGCAGGGTTGGTGCAGATATGCAAGAAATAGCCTTTACCCATAGGATGAAAAGAGGCACTCCTTATTCTACGAAAGCACAGATCAAATGCCTGTTCTAAAATGTCAATTGCCACTTCCAGTTTTTTAGTATCCATATAAAAATAACATATTTGGGTTTGTTTTTATTTATTTTTAGAACTGCAGGTTTAGAATAAAAGTTCATTCAATCTAAAGCTTTTTAAAAAACCAGATCAATTAAGTTTTACAGCTCACAGAAAGAAACAATACACATACATTTTACTGGGGTCAATATTTAGATTTGGAGATTATTATTATGGATTCTTTTAGTTATCTGGATTATGTTCTTATATTTTTATTGCTAAATTTTATTATGAATAGTGTTTAATTTTACTTTATAGTTATTAATATGATATACTTTTATTAGTCTATTGCTTATATGACTATCTGAATTTTGTTATGTTTGCAATAGATAGCTCTATCAAATCTATCTGTGCAAGCTATTTTTCTCCTAATAAGCAGCACGTCAGTATCTCACTGTTGTAGCAAAACTGCTACAATTAGCATGGTAATGATAACTACTGCCACCAGAGGAGCTGGGAGACTGGAAGTGCTCTGCTGAAGAAATGTCCTGACTCCTGTTGTTTTCGCAGAGGATCTGTATTCAAACTTGCTTGAGAAAAGCTTGATCTTAAGGTTTATGGCACCTATAGGCAATATAGCTCTTTTTATGGCAAAAGGGGGGGGGCAATAGATCCTAAGCAAACACTGATAAGCTCTCTGTTCTGAGAAGTCTCCACCTACCTGAGTGTCCTGACATTGGAAAGCCCCACAGACTGATAAGGGAAAGCAGCCGAACCTTTCTAAAAAAGAATGTTGTTTCCAGGGCCATCTTAAGTATATCCCACGCCGTGGTGCAAATATCCCCCCCCCCTTCCCAGAGTTGCCGACCTTTTTACGGCACTGCTGGCAGCTTTGCAGGGCTGGAGGGGGCGGGCAGCGGCTAGAGGGCGGCTTCTCCAGCAGGGAAGAGGCAGAGGCTCCGGGCACGGTGCTAGGCGGGCAAGGGCAGTGAGCTGATGTCAGGAGGCGCCGCGCCCAGCCTCTTCCCTGGTGCCCTCCAGA